TAGGGGTGAGTGCAACAGGGCGGAAGTCATTGAGGCTCGCTGCAGTTGAGTGTTTGGGCACTGGCACGATGGATGTGGTTTTGAGGGACAACTGCTTGGGCCAGTGACAGGTTGAAGATGTCAGTCAGGACCTCAGTCAGCTGTCCAGCACAGGCCCTGAGCACACGTCCAGGGATGCCATCAGGACCAGCAGCCTTACATTAGTCTTGCTCAGAGCAGCGCACACGGCGATGGTGGAAAGTGTGAGGGGTTGGTGGTCTGCAGGGAGCGCAGCCTTGATCGCCGCCTCCTGGTTCTCTCTGTCAAAGCGAGCATAGAAGTTATTGAGCTCATCTGACAAGGAGGCGTCGCCAGTTGGTGTGGTTGTGTTGGTCGGCTTAAATTGACCTGGGGCCACTGCTGGTACTGTCCTCTCATAGGAGGGCCACTTCGCTGTTTAAGTACTACAAAAAATGCAATATTACTAATATCATACTTAACAAAAAAATGCAAATAGCTGTTTGTATACATTTTTATATCATAATTTTATATTATTAAACAAAACAAAAATAGGCCTGATACCTGCTTTCTTCTTATCACCGGTTTGCATGCGATTGCAGGCACCTTTGACCTTTGCCATTATTTTGCACCAAACTAAACACATTTTAAAAAATAGAATTGTGTTTTGATTTTAATTGTATATAGAAAGGTAGTTTAAATTGATATGAAACAACTAGGAAAAATAATTAAATTAAATAGTAGTCGTGCTGGTCGAATTATATTTTTGACTTCATTGCAATTTGCCTATTAAATCACATGCTACCTTGTGTGAAAAGTTTACATTTTCAAAAGATTCTGCTAGAAAAAGGCTTGTTGCATGTCTAAAATGGAGAGGGATCATCCCATTCTCTAGGGATCATGAATGTGACACATAAATGGCAAAGCAACAAGGCTTACCCTTTATCCTGATGTTTATCTGGCTAGTACACTGCTGGGAGTCAAGGTTGACGAGGACTACCTTGCTAACTTGCATGTTCCGGAGCCTTTGACTGTATCACACGATCTTGAGCAGCAGGTGGAGTGCTCAGTGGTCATGGAACTACAGATGTTCAGATTTTCCATTTATTTGAGCCCTTTTAGGAATTTTGAAGAGTGGCCATTGTGATAAGTTAACAACATAGGGAAGCACAAAACAATATGCAGGTTATTGTCTGGGTACAAAAATCATGTACTGCGTGTTTAATGCCTTTATTTGCAGAAGGAAGCCTTAACTCCTAGCCCAGGGTTAAAAATGTCTTTATAAAAGGAAGAGCAGAAGAAAACAACAGAAACACACACATTTGGTTATTATTCAATTGTGGTAATTTATTCATTATGAACAGCAGCAGATCAGACTCTTGGCAGGTGTTCAGACTGAAAACAGCACTGTGTTAAAACAATGCAAGGGGCTGCGTTAGTGTGTGTTGCTTCAGGTACCAGTGAGGCGATGAAATACTATCCAGGCCAGGTGACAGTGACTCCTGTGCTGTGTTTTTTCATGGAATCCTCTGCATCTGCACCCCCACTGCGTCATCAGACAGGCCTCATAAAAATGAGCAAGGAGGAAAGAGAACGCGGCATTGATAGTTTCAAATGATTCTAATGCTCAGGTCGAATACTGGTGACATGCTGAGATGTTGTTGTCCAAAGTAGGACTGTCACTATGTCAAATGTTCACTACACATCTATCGTGGCCAGAATAATTATAATTATTATAATAAGAAATATCTATAGAAAATTTCAAAGAAAAAAAAAAATCAAATTCATCTTGAACTTTTTTTGTGTGTTTTGCCTCTTGTTTGGCAAATGAATTACACTTAAAATACAAGTGTTGGGAGGTGGGGAGAGAGTGTGTAACCATAACTGTACAAGATAAGAACAGTGACACTGAGTGTGAACCACAAGTACTCACTTTGTCAAAAAAAATTATTTATGCTGGATTATTTATACAATAATACAAATAATTTATAAAATGTTTAAATGTTTACAACATATGTGTATTAATAATGTGACATCATATATATATATATATATATATCATGGGTATCATCAATACCAGTATATCGTGACAAGAAAAAGTCCTCCACGCTGTCCGAAACTCACAGCTAGAGCGTATTCGTGACCCCAGGCCCAAGTTCACGAATATCAAGCATGTTTAATAAAGACAGGGCTCCTCTGGATGTGGTTCCTGCTCTGCTCTTGACCCTACTGGACTGGAACATGTATGGATTGATACACTATTTATACTTTATGTATCCCTCTGTGAACTCTTGGTGCAGGTGATCCACTGTAGTGGCTACCTGAAGATCCGCCAGTACAGCCTGGACATGTCTCCGTTCGATGGCTGCTATCAGAACGTGGGGCTGGTGGCGGTCGGCCACTCGTTGCCGCCCAGCGCCGTCACCGAGATCAAACTGCACAGCAACATGTTCATGTTCAGAGCCAGCCTCGACATGAAGCTCATCTTCCTTGACTCACGGTACATTCTGTGTGACAGTCTGTATGTTTGTGTGTGGGTGTGAGTTCTTCCGCATATTTTTGTGTTACATATTGTGTGTGTGGGTGTGTGTTGCTCAGGGTTGCAGAGCTGACAGGCTACGAGCCTCAGGATCTGATAGAGAAGACTCTCTATCATCATGTCCACAGCTGTGACTCCTTTCACCTGCGCTGTGCTCATCACTTGTGTGAGTTAGGTTTGTTTTACTTTCCTATAAATTCTCTCTGCACACACACACACACACACACACACACTGTTACAGTACAGACACACTACATCAGGCTATATATCAGCTTTTATATCATTTTTTCTCATGTTATGCTGCTATGTTATGTTATGTTATGTTGTCTTGTTATATTGTGTTGTGTTTTGTGCTGTGGTGGTGTGTTGTGCTGTATTGGTATGTAATATTATGTTATGTCAGATCATATTGTGTTCTTATGTTAAATTAATCATTTTTTAGAGGAATTAAGCAATATAAATTCTATACATTAGTAGTTAATTTTTAATGTTTGTTTATATAAAACAGCTCATTTATACCTATTCACAAATACTATAAGGTACAATCAAATACATTCAGTGCAGTTTTACAGTGTCACATTTTAGTCTTATGTCACCTTTTGCTGTAATTTGCTGCTATATTTCGATGTGTGAATGTAATTTAATAGTGGATTACTTCCCCACAGTAATCATCATTTTTTTTCCAATCTCTCACTCTTAAAGTGCTTGTCAAAGGTCAGGTCACAACGAAGTACTACCGTTTTTTGGCCAAGCATGGCGGCTGGGTCTGGGTCCAGAGTTACGCAACCATCGTACACAACAGCCGATCATCCCGGCCTCACTGCATCGTCAGCGTCAACTACGTTCTCACGTGAGTATCTCTCTGTATTCCTAAATGCTGCTAGATTGACCTTAATGATCAACATGCTGATAACCCTGACAGCCAAACAGAGGTCCAGAAGGTTCTTACTTGAGACAAATAGTGTTATTATGTTTATGTGTTGGTGGGGATTGCTGTGGTGATAGTGCACTTCATTTCCAAGAGATCATCATTTTTAGTTTTTATGTTTTTACTTTTAAACAGTGGTCCAGTATGCAACTTGTACAGCAGTTAATGATGTTAGAAAAACCTTTTGAAGCCAACAGTGCAACATCCACTGGGAGACATGTGAACTTGAACAACCTTGCATATTTAAAGATTTCTGGAGGTTTTAATTCAAGGTTTAGAGCGTTAGGCACTTTTCAAGGATTCTTTAATGTTTGGAAATTATTACTGGTTTTGCAAACACACTGCATTATTGTTCCAAGCCAGACGTATTTGTATTATTTTCTTTATACTCGGTGTTTAGGAGGGGATCTCTAGAAGGATAAGTCTTTGCCTATTTTGGGTTGTCATATGTATCATTATGAAAAGCCGCCCCTTACATTTAAACAAGTGGAAATGTTAAATGGGACCTGGACCTTACTTGTATAGTCTCCTTTTCTTAGTCTTTCCGACACTCAAAACGCCTTTTACAACTTACGTTTGCCACATTCACCCCTTTCCAACACATCACACATATGGCAAAAGTCCATCAAACAGGAAAGTTAACTCATTTCACAACAACACACACACACACACCTCGATGCACAGCATTCAGGAGCAATTTTTTCGGAGGTTCAGTATTCTGCTCAAGGGTATTAACTTCGACACCTGGTGGCACAGGACGCCGGGGATCGAACCAACAACCTTCCCATTAGGGCACGACCCACTTCTCCCGCATCGCCTCTTGCCCGCCACAGGCCGACCCTTTTTTTTTAGTATTTGGTGTGTGTTATCCAAAACCTGATATTAAGCGTATTCCTTCTGTGCCATTTAGAGCGTCCAGTTTGTCTGTATTCAGCTCCAGGATGTGTATTTACAACCCACCAACTGTGCACAAAACTTAGTACTATGTACTTTCGCCGTTGAAAGAACTTACACATTGGTGTTGAAAACCGTTAACAGTACCAGGCTGAAGTTCTAAATTACTGGACAAGCGTATCCCACGCAATTCCTCGGAAAAACTGGAATAACTAAGGGAATTTAGAGACATCATTCCTTCCAGTCATGGAAACACATGAGGAAAACTATCAGATTTTTAGAATAGACCACGAACCTATCCTGGAACAAGTTCATATTCATTGATTCCTATGAACAATATTTTTTTTTAGTATTATATACCCCCCCTCACTCAGTAATATTGGACTTACTTACCAGCTTCAAAACCATACATGGCACACTCGGGATTCGAATTTATAGTAGGAATTAGGCTTTGTAGTATGACAAAAACTGACAAAAGATAGAATGTCTCGTACAATTACTTTACAGGAACTAGAGCGGTACCAAAAATAATATAATTGGCTTTTGTTTTGTGGAGCAATGTGCTTTGAACACTGACCAATTACCTTGAACGCAATAATGTTACAGACCGGAACCCTCCACACTTGAAAAAACACTTTTTACACAAAAGCCACTCTCTTTATTTTAGACATCAAAATGTACAGTCTATCATTTACTTAGAAACCCAAGTTGAGGCTTGGGTTTTGGTGCGACACAAAATCGTAACACGACAACTGAAAATCAGAATCAGCAAAATAACTTTGATTTGGCGCTTATATAGCTAATTCTTTTATGGGATTCAATTTTTCAATATAGACAACATCAACAGGAAACGGACAATAAACACACAGCGTATTAACATTTTTTGTCTCTCTCACTTGAACTCCAGGCTGAAGGACAGCCACGTTACGCAGCACGGCGTTATTCCATCACGATGGAAAGAAACGAACCATTGTCTTCGAACCACAACGCACGTAACACAGGGTGTGGACCCACATTTTTTATCAAAACCCATAAAACTGAACCAAGATCTGAAGCTGGAATCAAAGGCGCCTGCCAGGATGAAAGCCTAGAATGGAACTTGGGATAGAAGATTGCTGATGGATATGCAACCCCCAACTAACTACCCACTGAACATGTGCATCAGACATGGACTTGGACACCATAGCCAGCATACTTTCAACAGGAAACAATTGCATGTAATTTTGTTAGAGACATACAGGTTCTTTTCCTTTATATGATCCCAAACCTGGAAAAAAAAAATAAAAATATGTCAGAACGAAACCCATTGGTGAACGCACAACATGCCAAACACAATTAAGGGTTAGAAATACACTGCACCATAGATTTGATAGAATTATCGCAACGATGATTAAGACGGAAAAACAGATTGGTATAACCACAAAACCATTAATTTGACAAAGCAGACGTGTGTTATTTCTAACTTTATCACGATGCACAGTAAGTGCTATAATTTTAATAGATAGCACCGTTGCAAAGACAACCAAAACACAATCCACTTCTGTCAGTGGGCTATTTTGAGTAAGTGAAAGTGGTCTGCAGCTCCAGGGGCAGAGGAGGGAGTGGCCTTCAGATCTCTGTCCCTATGGGCTGACATTCCTGCTTTGATAAGGGATACATGAGTAGTTATCCGCAGTCACTAGACACGATATTACGCAAAACAGTCTTGCTGTGAAAAGCAGAAGTACACTGGGGAAGTTAATGAAACACTATGAACGTAGATTTAGCAGAATCCATTAGAATTGCCTAAAAAGTGATACAAGTCAATATCTGATACTTAGTTTTATCTAGTCCTTAATGGTTAACTAAATGACTAAGAGTTTTGAACAATAAGGAGATAGAGCCATTGATAGATTTGCTTTTAGCGAAACAACCAGAAACTTTGTCCTCTCGACTCTCTACTGCCTTGGACATGAGTAGTAGACCACTCATATACTGTATCTATCTGTAGCTATCATGCCATCAACTTGATAAATAGCAGTCTCAGTCAGAATAGTCTAGAGACCACTTTGACTATAACCAAATTTGTATTAAGTTAAGAAAGGATACAAAAAACACAAACACAAAACAAGCACAAATAGTGTTACTGCTATACCTGGTGGCAAGGCACTCTCTGTGGCAAAAGGCGTCAGATACCTAGTTATATTAGTTCATATACTAAGATAGCAAGCTCTGCCTGCAGAAGATACATCATAAACAGATGGACGACTAACAATAATCATGCACTGAGACCAGCGCATTGCAATTTCGGCAGCCCTCTTCCTGCACACGTATCCAAATACAAGTACTCGGCTTTTGCCACCCAAAAAATCCTCACTACACAGCTAGCTACATATCATCCATCCTATAACGATACTAAAAAACCACACCTGTTAGATCACAAGGGCAGAGTCACTTTAACCACTGCGTGAGGCCGCACAAGTTTACTATTGCAGAAGAGGACGAATAGATAGTTCCATCTTGCATGTTAATTGCATATTTATTAATTATAAATTACCCTTTAGATCGAGTGCATTATATCTCACGCTGTAAAAGTCAAATACACGAGCGCCTTGATGAATAGAGGGCCTAAAAAAGCCTCCATTAAGCAGCCGAAATCGGCCCGGCGGTGACTTCGGAGGCAGCGAGAAACAGCCCAATATAGACGAACACATATTCTTCTACCTCCTTACATTCCACAACAAAAAA